TATATATATATATATATATATATATATATATATCCAAAACTAAAAAGAAAAAATATGTTTAGCATACTTACACTTTAAATATGACATTTCTAAATCTGCTGATTAAACCATCAGCACTGGAAGCCAAGCACAGTGTCTACATCCCCTTCTCTCCTCCTCCACATCACTAGGTTTACTACTACATTACGGGCCCACTTTAAATGTCCTGCGTTATATACATCGCCATCCCTGAACTACAATCTACATTTACAATAATAACAGAATGGCGCCATGCTCTGCCAAATTTGCATATTATAATACCCCCGACCTTCTGCTGCCCTCCATTGCAGCGTTCCTTTTAACTTATTTCTCTATTTTACCCCCGAGGGTCAATATGAATTTTCTTGGCAACACAAAAATATAAAAATAGCGGAAGAACAACAAGAAAGTGAAAAAAAAAAATGGAGCTGAAGGTCATTTAATCATCGAAGTTCCACAATATTCATCAATTTGAAGCCAAGAAAATGGATGGTGGAATGTTTACAAAAAGGCATTAAAGGCACACAGCAGTCTAAATTGAAAACCAGACCTTACACATAAATTTTTTGTAAGTACTCCAGTCAACCTTCAATCTGGGAACCCCTTCTGCATACCCACTTATAATGCAGGAGGGACACACCCACCTCAGGCTCCCTAGTGTCCCTAAAGGTGGCCATACACTTTACAACCATCGCAAGACCTTAGTCTTGCGATGGTTGTAAAGTAATTAAAAAAACGTACGATCTGCCAATCTTGGACAGGCAGATCGTACTTGCGATCATCGCAAGCCCGCCCCCCTGAGGCCCGTTCGGCATTTGTCCCCCGAGCATGCCACAAACCAGCCGAAAATTTTCGGTTTTCGAACATGCTCCTTAGACAAAAGATGTGCGACCGTACAGTAAAAACGGTAGCAAGCCTTCCATACACTGCATGATTCTCGCCCGATTGCGGGATTTCCCGCGATTCTCGTACGAGAATCGTGCAGTGTATGGACACCTTAACAGTCGTGTATCAAAGTATCTAGATGTTTCTATGCCAATCACATTCAGCCCTGCCTTGGACGTTTGATCCTGATTGGTGATGCATCCAACAGAGAGAAAAGCAGTGACATAGCACAGAGTAACCAGTTGTGGATAATGGGCGTGCTAAACACAACCCCCCAAAAAATAAAAAACTTAATTGAAGTACGCAAGGTGGGTTTAGTACTCAACAGTGTCTTCTACCCTGCTGCTGCTCCCCCTTGCACTTACCCAGCTGTCAAAATGTGTAAATACAGCAGCTATAAAAGGTGTTGCCAAAAAATGACAGTGTTTAGACTGGAGATAGATGATCAGAGAGAGATGGAGAGATACAAAGTAACATTGTTTATAAACATTGAGCAGAGGGGAGATAGAGAGATACAAAGTAACATTGTTTATAAACATTGATCAGAGGGAGATAGAGAGATACAAAGTAACATTGTTTATAAACATTGATCAGAGGGAGATAGAGAGATACTAAGTAACATTGTTTATAAACATTGATCAGAGAGGAGACAGAGAGATACAAAGTAACAAGCTGCAACCGGCTTTTGATAGGTAGTTAGGTTACACAGCAGCGGGCTTCCCCATTGCTTGTGTAACCTAACTTGGTGAGGCAAAAGCTGTCACAGCCTCTACTCTGTGTAAAGGTCCCCATACACCTGCCGATTATTGGACTATAATTGCGGGTGATCCTGCGATCGTACAATAACTGTCAGGTGTATGGGCAGCGTGTGACCTCTTCTACTATACGGTCGCACGACTTTCGTCTTCCGAGCACGCTTGAAAACCTGCCGAAAATCGTACGATTATTGGTGGGTTGGTCGCGTGCTCGGAAGACGAATGCCGCAGGGGCAGGTGTGGGCAAGCGCACACTGCCCGCTCTGCACTGCAGTCACCGGAAGCCCTCCCCTCAGCGGGGCCAGATTAACAGGGTACATGGCAGGGAAATCCTCCCCGCTGTGTAATCTGTCATGGACGGAGCGCTGCATCTGGCTTTTCACAGCCAAGTTAGGTTACACAGTAGCGGACTTCCCCACTGCTTGTGTAACCTAAACTGGTGAGGCAAGAGCTGTCACAGGCTCTACTCTGTTTTTAAAGTCGTGCGACCGTACAGTAGTAGAGGTCGCACGGCTTCCACACACCTTACGATAATCGTACGATCGCGGGATTTCCCGCGATTATCGTACGATTATCGTAAGGTGTGTGGGCGCCCTTAGGGGGTGTGAGCTCTGTGGATGGCTTGGGCCAATGGCAAAGCGTCATTGGTCCAAGCTGCCCAATCAAAAAGAAAACAAAACACTGAGGACATCGATCTCGATGTCTCACCAGTGACGAGCAAGTGAGGGACAGGGAGGCTCCTCCCCGTCTCCTCCATCACACAGAGCCGTTGCCTGCAGCGGACTGATGACATCATCTCAGCAAAGGGCAAAGTCATTGAATAGAGCTCAAGCACGGCTTTTTCATGGTAAAAGGTGGAGTTTTTTTTCTTAAAACAGAAATCACTATTTATGAGGTCAGGAATGCGATATAATAGGATATAAAATAAACAAAAAAGGGGATTAAAAAAAAAAAAAAGAAAAAGGAAATTGAGTTTTCATTCATGTGCAACACTGCAGAGAAATCCATTACCAGTCGCATGGTTAAGGGGA